TGCTCGCCAGACAGACAGAGAGAGACAGAGAGATAGAAAGTGAGAAATCACCTCCCGGGGGGATGGCCACACCGCAATCCCTTCTCCTCCATTCTCCTCTTGAGATCTTGGGCACGCACGCACACGCGCCCGGCGTGAGTTGTAAGCCACCGGGTCCAGGACTCGAACCATGGTCGACTACGCGGGAGTCCAGTGACATAGCCATTACGCTAACTGCTGGTCCCTGATTTCTCACTTTCTGTCTCTCTGTCTGTCTGTCTGGAGAGCGCAAGCGCCCTATGGCAAAAACCTCTCCCCCCCAAAAAAAGAACTGCTAGTTCTATCCAAGCTTGTTTTCCTTGATAAAAGGAATGGAGATATTTCCACTGCTCTCATTTTTAAAAACGTCTTTTAAGTAGCCCGGCTACTTAAAACTCATATTCACCTTATAAAAGTTGGGAGGAAAGAATGGTACCTGTGATTCCCAAGGTCTCTTCCAGCTCACAGGCAAAGCTCTGCTTCTTCGGTTTATTGCCTGGCAAGAGAGAGTGGCCTTGAGTTAAGTACAGGCCCAGCTCGGCCTCGGGTACTGCGCTCTCCCCATTATATCTTCTCATTACTACTCTGTGCCCAGGGGTGGGGTGGGGGCGGTTGGGAGATAGGGCAGTCAGTCACCCCACGGGCTCTAATATATGCAAATTTCCGGTAAGGATGAAACCCTGGCTATACTCCTCACAAATGACGTGGGCCTCAACAGAATCACGAACGAGTTTGAGCCTTCATATTCTATTCTCTAAAATAGGGATAAATACTTGCAAAGTTGTAAACCTTCGAGTTAAACAACAATGCCTACTTCTTGTTAGGTTTTCAAGTGTTCTTTTCCGTAACACTTAAGAGTCTGAGGAAAGGTAAACTGCGGCGTCACGAACACCTTGTGGCTCGCTGACAACCAGCAGGACGACGCCCCAGTACCTGGCACTTCCACGCCATCACCTCCACACCGAGCGCCTGCTGGGCGGAGCTGAGCCGGACTGGGTCTGGGTCACAGCGCGGCACTCGGATGCCAATCATCCAATCACCTCGGCTCAGGCTCCGCCCCGTGCGCACGGCCCACCCCTCTGCGTGCGCCCTCCCGCCAGCGGCGTGCGCGCTCCGGACGCCGGCAGTGACCCGACGCCGGCTGGAGCCGGGCGGGGGTGCGGCTCCCGGAA